TTGGTAGCCAAAGCACCCATATTCCACAATTTGGGAGTTTCCCTTACCCATATGCACCCGGATATAGAGGATCTACATACTGATCTTGTAGATATGCGCCCGATTACTTCACATTAGACTCTCATCAGCAGAGTCATCTAAGATTTTAACCATGTGGATAGGTAGGTTATATAGTTATTTTAGTTGCTTGATACAAGAAGTCTAATTAGGTTTTGTCAATTATTGGCATCTTCCCTCTCTTCTCTTCAGTCTTGACTGGTATCCCCACCTCCTTTCCTGCTATCCCATTCGCTCCCTCAATCTGACTAGGGTTTTTTCTAAGCACAACATTCCTCGATCAAGCACCAAAATTTTGGATTTTGGCGCTACTATATGGTATAGATTTGATATGAAATGGCATGTATGTGGGGGCTTTTTGGCAAAGGAGCAACAATGAACAAGGTAAAAGAATTTTTATTGAATGGTTTATCTAATAGAAGTAGTAGAGTGGATGAGCTTTTCTAGTTGGTCTGTAACCCTCAAGATTGAACAGCCCCTGCTGCTAATTTTAACCAGACACTCATGTAACAATGGTACAAACATAAGCTATTTGTATTCAAGTTCAACCATCGACTTTTTGACCTTATCCAAGCTTTACTTGTTGCCTAAGTAGAGAAAGATCCATGTGCTTTTAGAGGTTTAGATAGTCCAGAAAATTCGTGAAAATGGGTCACCAATTTTAACACAAGGTGATAGGTTGCATGCAAGGAGAGATACATTTTTCAAAGCCAAAATGTATAGTAATTCAGATTTGCCCCAAGTTGAAGAATGTAGTAACGGCTCTCCCAAAATCCTAAAGAACTCAAGACCTCTCCCGATATGCCGTCCCCTCTACATATTCAAATATATCATTAGAAAAATACTTATCCATCAAACTTCCTCTTCTAGAAAGCCATCAATAGTACTGAACAAGCTATAAATCCTTGTTTCTCGAAGATGTGTTGTTTATCTGAAAATTGGAAGTGGCGATGGTAAAAAACAATGTAGAGGTTGGTATTCGAAAGATTGTTCTAACTTAATTGAATTGCCAATTTTTCCACTACAAATCAGTTAAGATGAAGTTGCTGGTGCATGTACAGATTGCCTCCTCGGTGATGAACCTACAGCTTCATATAGTTCATCAGGTGTCTGTGAGTGCTAGGAACAAACAAGTATCTAACAGGATCCACATATTTCCAAATGATATGAACTCTGTTCACCGTGAGACATAATGCCCATTTAGTTATTACAGAACGTCAGCTAAATATCTTTCCTCCAGTCATCCACACCCTCACTGGATTCAGCTCTGAAAATCCTATTATTAAATTAAAGAGTAGGAAGACAAACCCTAGAATCTCGAATGGGTGTAGGATGTACGTCATCATATCCTTCCGCTTACCATCACCAATACCAAGCTGCATATGTGCTCGTTATTGGGTTCTATACTCGAGAAATATGAACAAATGCATCTGAAGATACTTGTTGACTTCTGTTACATTTTTGTGAAATGCCTACCAACAAATTCTAGTGTTAGTACTATTAAATCAGCAACCCAGTTTTTGTCTACATTGAGTGCGCAGCGGAATCAAACTATATATTTCTTTAGCAAACACATAGAATTTTATTTGTGCACTTCTTCAATATACAAGCCTAGATTTCGTGGAGCACTATCTCTCCATTTCTATCAAATGCACTCATTCTAACATTGGTGCTCTCTGTCACCAATACACAATCTCTCAAATGCCTTATTTTTTCCCTCTAGGCTTAGGGTACAGAACATACATATGGTCCGTCTTTATAGACCTCGTCAACCGACTCTAATGCCCAAGAAATTCGTTGCCAAAGTGCTTCTCCATCTTGCTGACTTGCTCATTTCTCAGTCAATTTGTCTCTATCTCATGTTGTTTCGGTTAGCACCTCCGGCATACAGTGATCAAAGTCATTATCTTTTTACTTTAAGCACAAATTCACCACCCCATGCATATATTTTTTTTTCTTTTTTTTAACTCAGTAATTAAGTAAACCCCCAAATCGATCAATCTGTAACAATCTATGCATAGATATCTTCCGCCTTTTTGTATCAAATGATCACAATCCTTTGACCATTAAACTAATGTTAGATTGTTATGCTGCATATGTTAGCTAGGATGAACTGTAAGGAGTTCCACTTATATAGGACAAAAAGAGGGTGTTAATGTGTCTAGATCCCTTGAAGGTTTACTTGTTTGACACTTGGACTGCTAAACTTTCATCTGAAAGACTAAGAACCCTCTACTTTGGTATTTGAGCTGTTTTAATCTGACGACCTCATTTAAGGAAAGGGACTATCCAAACTAATAAAAGATTCTCTTCAACCTGCACTTACAGGATTACAAATTTTCTCTCCTAGTATATGTTAATCGTGATTATTTTTGCAAGTCTACCTCTGATTGTTAACCCTGCCGGTCGGACTTTGAGGTGACCGGAATGGGGATTTTTTAACTTAAAATTCTTCTTCTGGAGGTCCATTTGCAATTTCCCTAGTAGGGTTTTGTATGTATCTTCTTTGTTTTCAACTGGGTGAAATTGAGAAAAAGTAGTACTTAAGACTGTGTTTAAGAGAGTTTTCTTCTGATTTTGTTTGGAAGATTCATGTAAATTCTGTCTACTGTTTGTTGCGCCATTCTTGCTCAGCAGCTTGTAGTGCCTTAACTGTGTTTTTTGGGGCACAGATTTGGAGCACATTGGAATATTTTTATTAGAATTGTTAAATTGCTATAAGAAGTTCAGCTAACATTCCGAGCTTTAAAGACCAAATAAGGAGGACCTCCTCATTTGTGGTATAATGTAAGTTTGAGGGGTCTATCTAAGTGTTACAATTGAAACTTTGATGGGCGTGGTATAAGCTGTGAATGTTTTAGAAAAGGTTTAGGGCTTCTTGATGTACTTTACACTACATATATATAGTGACAAAGACTTAATGATTCGAACGTCTAGTGCAGTCATAACTCGATCAGTGAATGGAATGGCTATCATAAGGAGAAATATTGATAGGTTGCGTATGATCTCCTACGACCTATAGGTTTCTCCCACAATCCCTCAAATCCTATCCAGCATACAGCCACTCTCACCGGATCCTTTGAAACATTGGTCTCACACCTTGCTTATCCATATTTTTAGTTAAAGTGCTGTTGATCAAGTGCGCTCATATTCAAGGTCCCTTGTCCTCAAAGTACACTTATCTCCTTTACCAATTGATACATCATCAGCTTGAAATGAATTTAAACACTCAGAGTCTTGAGCGGCCAAGTATATTTACCAATCAGAGGGCTTTTAACCATAACCTAATTAGGCACAATCCAACAAAAAGTACTCTATAGAGGTCATGTATTGTCACTTTCTTGCACCGAGATGGTATGTGTAGACTACATGAGCAATGTAGGATTAGGATTGAAGAGTCAAGGTCTGTCAAAGTTTCCCTCTCTTCCCTAGTAAGCTAAGAAGGATCTCATGATTTGAATTTAAGTAAATTTGTTGGCTTGGAAGTTCTAGGTATGCCATAAGACCAAGCTATAATTAGTTAATCTGATGTTCATAAAGAGTCGTTGACAATTTTTCAAAGTGAATTTGCTTCTTTCTAGGACCTTAATGGACAAAAATGCTTTCTACTCTCTCTTACGTACTTTCATCAGAATTACTAGCACTGCTTTGATCTCTGAATGTTGTTTGCTTTGCACCCTGACGATATTGGTCTGTTAGATTTCTTCAAAGGCATAATTATCATATATTACATGATGTATATGTATTGCTAATAGCTTTAATCATCAACACGGTAATCATATGCCGATGATTTGCCTCCAAGCAACAGAAAAGTTAAACCTGAAATGTTTCAAGTGTGCAAAAATGGCGAGAACCCTCTCAAATCATCCATATTTACCAATATGAGTAACCCAAAACTTCGTTCCAAAGCAACATGTTTGACTTTGCATTTTCCCCAGGATAGGTAATTAATGGTGTGATCCAGGTTACCTCAAAACGAAAGCTTGACATTACTACACGTGTTGGTGGCATCAAAACTGTTGGAGAGTTGTCCTAAAAGGTCAGCTAGTAGAAGTTTAAGAAAAAAAAATAGTGTACACTAACCGCACTCTGTGACAGTCACTATCATGCACGGACATGAGATGTGCATGTAATAAAAGAAAACCAACAGTCAGAGTAAATAGCAGAAGCAATAGTTAAAATAGTGAGAAGATGGACCGTGAGGGTCACAGCTCTTCAAATAAACTTCCAACCATGTTGCGTTCTTTCCAAATCTATTAGAATTTGTTTCTTTCAATTCAAGACTGCTATAATTGTGCAGTGTAAATGATCACGATAGGAGTTGTCTTAAACTAAGTACCACTACACTGAACTCAAGTTAAACAAGCTCCATAAGGGTTTCTTGGTTGTCTTTGTTGATAACTTCCCCAATGCTGAAGGTTTCTTCTTTTTGGTAAATCCCGTGCTAATATCATTAATGTGAAGGTGACTTTCAAAGCATTATAAAATCAAGAACCAAGAAGAGTGGAAAACAATGAATATGCACAGAAGAAGCTTCTAATTGTCATAATAATGGTGAAATGAGTGAAAAATCATGGGGACTGACTGAGATTGATCAATGAGAAATGATCCCCACAGAATAAAGTTACCAAGTTAATCTATAAAACGTGAAGGTTGAGTAAAGTCAGTCAATACAAGTGAAAAAGAAAAACACTAGTCCTCTTCAAGGAGATCTGATTAACTTCATATCCATACAACATAACAGTTGCTTTTGATGAGAGTTTCATCAACCATTGACACCTGATAGCCTGCTTTCTTAGGTGGTCATGGGCTAATTAAGCAGACTTCATCCACAGTTTTCGCCTTCTCTGTTTGTGTTATTAACCAAAGAACATTGATAACTGTTCCTTTTTAGGAGAAGAAAATAATTGGGTTTTACTAATGATGGTATTTTAATCATGCAGCATGAACGAAACCATAGAGCGGTACCACAGGCACACAAAGGACACAAAAACAGGCAACAAATCAGTGGAAGAAAATATGCAGGTTCTTTCCTTTTTCTATGCATTTGATCATATTATTAAACCTGTTAGATTTATGCATCCGCATTTTGTTTCATCTGGACTTTGCAATTATAGTGTCGATTAAGGTGGCTTAGTTTTCGATATCGTCTCAAGATGTTTTACAACAAATTAAGGTGGAAGATGGATAACTTAGTTTGGCTAATTTAGTTGTATATTTAACAGTTGTAGTTGCAGGATGATGAAATAGTTCAACAACAAATTACCAAAACTTTAGACGAGGGAAAAATAGACAAGTTAGCTTATGCTAAGGCACTTTAAATCCCTCTGCATATCTTGAGGAGTTGGCATTTTTGTTGTTTTTTTTTTCTTTTGCATTTGTTATTGTCACCTGAAAGCGATCCTACTTTGTACATGTTTGACATCAAGAATTGGCGTTCACAATGTCATTGTCGATGATGGTACTTATGATTTTCCAGCTATAACCATGAATTAGTTTGAAAAGCTCTTTTTTATATTTTCTCATGGTAATCGAATCATTTTTCCATAGCTTAGAATCCGTTTGGTATATCTGTGACTAAATTGTAGCTGTGTTGTGTTGCAACTATACTGTGAAGTGTTTTACTTCTATGTTTGGTAATACATGTTTTAAAACTGCATCGCCTCAAAACTGGGTAACACAGTTTTTTAAAAGCTACAATAGGCTGTTGTGGCTTTGGAGGTGCTGCAGCTGTTGAGATATTTGTCAAATACCTTTAAAAACTGCAGCACTTGTTTTCACAAAATCCCTAACTTCATTCATCCCTCTCCTCTTAGTTCTCTCCCACCCTGATCTCAGCCTAGTCTCTATCAATGGCTCTTCCTCCAACCAACAACATCACCAGCATCTCTCTCTCTCTCTCTCTCTCTCTCTCTCTCTCTCTGAAACAAAGTCGGCCTCCACAAAGATCAAGAAACATTGTCATTGAAATCGGAAGTTGTGAATTAAGGCTAGGGTTTCTTGTGTTCGTTCGATTCTTAAGCTAATGCAATATGTTGATGACTAGAGGACCTCATAAATGACTGTCCCATCCTTGAAGGCATAATTGGCTAATGATGAAAGCAAAAAGAGTTACCACCGACTCGATGTAAAAGACTTTCTGATGGCAAGATAAGATCGTACGTTAAGTATACGATCAATATCTGGGTATCATAAAGATTGAACCATAAGTACACTAAGTGAAGTGAGAGAATGTAAGTGGATCATACAAAAATTCAAGCAAGAGTCTGCCATATCATTTAATGTATCAATTTTCCAATTCGATCTTTTATGGCTGGCATATCTGTAAGTGCATTTGTCATTGTGAAAATGTAGTATCATTAGAAGAGCCTTGTATATAAAGACGTATTTTATGATATAGAGTACCATTTTGTCTTCTTTAAACATTTGATGTAATTGATGGAGCATTTCAATCCAACTTGGATTAAAACAAATTCATTATTGGATATAAAACCTTGCTTTCCTATTCCTATCGCACTACCAATATCTCATGGAATTCTCATGTGCTAGACTTGTTTAATACTATCAATCTGCACTTGCGAGCTCTTAATTTTCTGAGCTACTATCATGCTCTAGTAATGTGAACTTGTAAAGAAATTACTTGCACAATCTTTGACTAGGTATGAAACTATCCAGCTCATGCAAAGAAGCCCCAATTAGGAACTTTCATACCAAAAGACAGGAGTGTGAACACATAGAACTTATGCAGATGTTGATGTTCAAGTAGCAATGAGAACTACAGTCCCTAGAGTGATTGAGATTCAATTCTTGGACAAAGTTGACTTGATAAGTTTGCAGATTTGTCTTGGACATATCTTTGTGCCCATCAGTGCCCAAGCCTTTTAGAGGCCAAGAAATTGCACCAGACTTATGCAAGGAGAAATTAATAATATGATGACCCTTGCTTAACCTGGTTCTTAAGTTGAGCTTTATTGACCGGTTGAATTGTATGTGGATTTCTCCGTAGCCCTCACGAAAAGAACCCACCATCGTTTCTTACATGCGACTGTGCATAACTTGAAACACAGCATTTGAAGGACGAAGCTGCAAACATGATGAAGAAGATAGAGCTCCTGGAAGATTCAAGAAGGTCAAACATATTAACTATAGTTTACATTAAATTTGCACCAGCTTCTACATTTTGTAAAGAGTATTGTTCTCATGAGTGTCTACATTGTCTCCTCAGGAAGCTCCTTGGTGAAGGTCTAGGATCATGTTCAATAGAGGAACTGCAACAGATAGAACAGCAGCTAGAACGGAGCGTTATCAGCATTCGCGCTAGAAAGGTTTGCCATAAAAAAAAAAGAAATTATGTTTTAGGGTTTAAACCTCAACTACAATTCAATCATGTTTGTTGTGCTTCAGACTCAGGTCTTCAAGGAGCAGATTGACAAGCTTAAAGAGAAGGTATTATACTGTCGTATCCCTTGACATTCAATCAGTTGATTTGCCTTTTTTTGTGGCCGGGAATAAAGAATTCAACTAACGAAATGATTTCCTGGGAAAGAATATAGCGAGTTCTTCGACTTCATCATCGAGCGGCAGTATAAAATTTGCTAATCGGTCAATTTTCTCGTCTTCCATTAACTTGTTTCCGCTTAAATGTGGCTCAGGAGAAGATCTTAACAGCTGAGAATGCAATCTTAACTGAGAAGGTAAATCTCCTTTTTCATCCCATAGGCCATGCCAAGTATTATCTTTCTTCTTTTTCTCTTTTGTCCAGTCATTGGCTATAGAAAATCATGGAATTAAACAGCCACATGAGGTTCCAAAAGTCTGATGAAGGTGACATCTAGTTCTATTTTCAATCTATCAATGATCCTCGCCAAGTTTCACAGGCATCCCGATGTGTCATGCATAGATGGGATTAAATTGATTAGAGAAAAGCAATCTCCAATGAGCATTTTATTGTCTCATCAACAGAGAACTCACTGAATGCTCTGTCTTGACAGTGTGGAATCAAGCCCCCACAAAGAGCAAATGAGTGCAGGGAAAGTCCACTGCTCAGAGAGAGCAGCCCAAGTTCGGAGGTGGAGACCGGTCTGTTCATCGGGCCACCGGAGACCAGAGCGAGGCGCCCGCCATTTCAGAATTAACAATATAGCCCTAGCCTCTCGAAGTTTCAAAATGTCGCGAGGCAGGCAGGCTTTCTCTCCTCTCCCTCTCTCCCCTCTCGGGAAAATTTCAAACGCCACTGAAGCACTATTCCAGTGCAAGCAATAAATTCAGAGCATTATCAATATGGCCATGTATCGATTCTGTTTCTTCGACCTGACATGAAAGGACGACGAAGAGAATTCTATGTATAAAGTATTCAGATATCGCGAATTTGTATGCATTTTTGTGCCAAGAAAGATTGTAGAAACGAAATGTAAGAACGCATAATTGTAAGTGACGATGTTACGTGCTTCTTAGTATTGCAGTATCTTTCATCTTCATAATAAGAACTAATAATGTAATCCGAAGCAAATTTTTGTATCTTATAGGAAGATTAGAGAGTTTGGACATGGCTTGTGTATTCTAGGGTGATCGGTTTTAGAGTGGAAAGGTTCCAGGCTTGGAACCTGAAACCTACCATGTTCGTTTTGGAGCCAATTCTAAAATCTACCATGTTTTTTTGGTCTGCTTGTAGGTCTACTCAAGAATCTATTTTTCTCGAAGGAGGCTCTCAAGCAAAAGAGCAAACAAGAGAGGAATTGCATGCTCAATCAAAGACGCAGCGAGAGACTGAACGATGAGACGTGGAAGGGATTGTTTCTAGGAAGGACACCAGCTTTAGATTTTCAATAGCAATGATCCGGAGTGAGCGTAAGCCTTGCATGGAAAGAAAAAACGCAACAGTCACCACTTCTTTAGACCGGCAAAATCGCCAACCTGTAAAAAGTTGGAACTAGACCATAATCATCTCCCAAAGATAAATACCTGAAGAACAAATTTCAATGGAAACCAATACATTCCTATAAAGATTATCAAATTTCAGTCCATTGACGGTGTAAGATGTAATCAAAGACTGCTACTAGTTCATCATCTCAACCAAAAAAAGACAGCAAAACAAATCCTCAGTCCTCCAAAAAGCCCAAACGCTTTGTTTTATGAAACAAACTGACCAGTGACAACGTTCATCGCCCCGAGACAACATCCTCAGACAAACAGTTCGCTCCAAGGGAAAAGAATCCACTGCGAATTCACCAAATAGCAAAATCCAGAAGCAGGTTGTAAAACAATTAAACGAGAAGATACGATTCAAGAGGAAAAAGCCACTGCCAATTCACCGAATAGCAAAAAAATTCACGGCAAGTCGGATAGATAAAGGAAGAGAGAGAGAGAGAGAGAGGCGACAACAAGAGAGATGGAGCTTGGTCGCCCCGGGCTGGTATGCTGCTGGCGCGGGCTGAAGTGGGAGACTGAGGGAGGACGGGCAATGATGGCGGCGAGGGGTTCTTGCGATGCCGTGCGAGGAAGAGGAAAGAAGAGTAGAGGCTGAAGTCAAAAACAAGAAACTACAGTTTGGCTTTATGAAACCGGTTCCAAAACCGATCTGGTCGATCCGGTTCCCAGGTGGATTTTCACTCGAAACCGCAAACCAGACTCGTTCTCACTGGTTCCAAAAATTTGGAACCGGGAATTGGTTCTCAGACTTGTTTTTAAGACGGTCCGGTCCGGTCCGCTTTTCAGGTAGAACCGGTACGGTTGCACACCTCTAGTTCATTGCACCGTGAAACTTGCAATTTATTTTACCCCAGCGGAAGTTACACAGTTACACAGATAATTTTTCGCTTATCAAGCAATAATTTCCCTAGCTTCAATAATACAAGTCAAAATTCAGACTGCAATAGATTGTCATTAACACATAAAAGCTCGGGTGTGGCAACAGAAGCTACCATCATCGATAGCAAAATACACCGTGCCAGCAGAAGAGGGACAGTGCTGTGACAAACGGTGCCTCACATGGAGGATGTTACAATTGAGCTAATTGAGCTAATTCTACACGCTAGACATCAAAATCATACACTTACATGAGCAATTTTTACAGACAAGGCTAGTGGGAATACATAGCGAACACCCGAAATGAGTACACTCTAGAATGAGATGTAAAATTCGAATGTGTTAAGAACCTAGTTGAAGGGAAACATGATACAATTCGAACTAGGTTCTTCATCATTCATCAATGGCCGGGGTAATTAAAGGTTCATTCGAGAAGAAAGCTTCCAAATTTGCAATCATAAGTTCAGCCAAATCCTGGAAAGATTCCTTGGTGAAGACTGCTACATGCGGCGATAGGACGACATTATCCAGCGAGAGCAATTCATCGGGAACATTGGGCTCATTCTCAAACACGTCTAAACCAGCACCTCTGATTTCTCCCCGCACTAAACTCTGGACCAGTTCTTTCTCATCAACAATGGCACCACGGCCAACATTGATGAGAATTCCGTCTTTCCCAAGAGCCAAAAGGACCGACTTACCAATCATATGGCGAGTCTGCTCGGTTAGGGCACAGCAGATTATGAGAATATCACTGTCAGCTGCGAGTTCACAGACATTTCCGTAAAAAGGATACGAAACGGATGGCTTCTTTGCCCTTGAGTTGTATGATATAGGACAGCCAAAAGCCTCGAGCCTTTTTGCAACTCGTAACCCGATACTGCCGAGTCCAACAATACCAACTCGCTTGCCTACCAACTGCTGCCACAATTAATCGAAGTTAAATGAGAATCCTTGAAATATACAATTCTGTGATTGAGTAAACGACAAACATGATGAAATATAAACTTCACTTTGAATCTTCGATTCAATCCCGAGACAGTAACAAGGGACGATAAATCCAAAAATAGCTCTAATCCACGATTCAGATAACACATATATGCAATTTAGTCCGTCGACAGTTCTTTCGCTAGCGGCAAAGAACAAAGCCAAAAAGAAATGGGATCCTAGTCCAGAAAGCAACTCTGTGCTCTTTCCCATTTCTTTTGTTCCTAGGCTTTCAAGTCTTTTTCTTTAAGTACCCGCATTAATCTCATTCGGGCGACGGAAGTCCTCAATCTCACCAAAACCAGCCAATCACCGGGGCCGGAGCAGAGGTAACCCCATCCCTATAGAGATGTTTATGCCGGGACCGGAGTCTATGACCGTCCTTCCCGACGCACAAGGTCTAAGCTATCGAGCATTAACCAGCCCGGCCAACAAACCCCACTTGGATTCTCGACCATACGAATTACATTTCAGAAAACCACACAACGAAAGCACTACATTCTGCAGCAAGAATGGCATCAGGAAACGTGAAAACCATACGAATTACATCTCAGAAAACCACACAACGAAAGCACCGCATTCTGCAAGAATGGCATCATGAAACGCGAAAACCATACGAATTACAGCTCAGAAAACCACACAACGAAAGCACTGCATTGTGCCAAAAATGGCATCTTGAAAAACAAGAGGGGACAAACAAACGAATGAAAACAACGGGAACTGATAAATTCGACCTTCGACCCGAGAGCGAAGTCCCCCTCCTTAGCCCAGAGCCCCCGCCGCACGAACCGATCGGCGGCCGAGACCCTCCGGATCACGTCGAGCGCCAGCGCGACGGCCGCGTCGGCGACGTCGTCGGAGAACACCTCGCCGGCGTTGGCGACGGCGACGCCGCGGCGGCGGCACTCGGGGAGGTCGATGTGGTTGAGGCCGGCGCTGGTGGTGACGACGACGCGGAGGGAGGGGAGGAGGTCGAGGAGGCCGGCGGTGACCCGGGTGGCGGCGGAGCAGAGGAGGGCCGGGGCGGAGCGGGCGTGGGTGGAGAGGAAGGCGGGGAGGGGGAGCGGGGACTCCCAGGCGCGGAGGACGGCGAACTTGGCGGCGAACGGGTCGCCGTAGCGGATGAGCCCCGGCTTGATGACCAGGAGCTGGGGGAGGTCGCGACGGCGCATCTCCATCGTCCGATTGGTGGGTGTGGTCGGTGAGCTCGGCGATGGAGTTCAGAGAGTGACGGCGACGATTACCAAATAGTACCGACGTTTCCCAATTTTGCCTCTGTCGCAATTACTCACCCATTTGATGGGTTAGTCGGGTCGAATCGAAAACGGTCCGATCCAAATTGATTAATTTAAACCGTTTTGACTTATCTTCGTTCAATACAAATCTGATAACATATATCTGATTAGACTCGACCCATAGCTAATATATACCCGACCAGACACATATTACTAAAACGTTTCTATATTTAATTTAATTTAGAAAAATTTATACCCAAATTGACGTGAGAGAGTGAATGATTGAATGAGGTCAAGAAAAGGTGGAGAGAATCGTAGAAGTGGGTTGATTATAAGTAAGTTGTGATGTCCACATCTTCATGAAGTTCCGAAGGCTTTTGCTTTTTTTCGTGAAGACTCTGGAACGTCTGCAGAACTTGAGGCGATATCAGTAAAACTCGATTCATTTTTTTTTTCGTGAATCCATTTAACACACATATATTTTGGGCTTCATCATTTTAAATCAATTTATAACTCATTTACCGAATACAATTAAGTCATATAACAACATAGTTCATCAAATATGAGTTAATAAATAGGTTTATCTAACCCATTTTGACAGATTAAACGTTTAACATGGCAAAACCCAATGGACGACACATGGACAATCGGCGGCCAAATTGCAATGAATAGTAATGGAAAGTAAAATTAGCATAGCGATATGGACTTAGGGGTTTCTGTAAAGTCGAAAATTGTTTTGATAAATATGTTCAATGATATCACTTTAGGATTTTTCATGCTATTAATCTTGTTTTTATTGATCGGAAAGAACGAGGTCACGTTCTTTTTTTTTAAAATTCTCCTTTTTTTTTTTTTTTTTTTTTTTTTTTTCTTAGTTTTTTTTTAAAAAATTTTTCCCCCTTTTTTTTTTTTCCCCGGTTTATTAAATAACTCAAATTGTCATAAGTGATGATACATATACTCAATAATTGTCCTCGATAGTTATAAATTTCATGTAAATCCCTCTAAAATACAAGCTAGTGAACATAGTCTTGAAAGATTAATCAACTTATTGTCCGTAACTCTCCATAAAACATCGTAAACGATCTTAATTTATTGTAAATCCTTTTTTTTTCCTATTCTTAATCAGTGACCTCCATTATCATAATGTCCTCTCATAGTTTATAAACTTAAAGGTCCTGTAAGTAAATAATCGTCCTACGCTTTTTAAGTTTTCTTAATCAATAGTAGCATTGGCTATGGTCCATAAATTTTCTTAAAGGCTCTATCAGTGAATAATCGTCGTACATTATAATTTTCCTTAATCAATAGTAATATTGGCAATAGCCCATAATTTTCCTTAAATGTTTGTAAGATTATCTTTTTAAAATCGGTTGATTTTTTCTCCTTTTGATCCATCGGTCCAGTTTACGAAAACTGAGAGAAAACATGGAGAAAACTGAGAGAAAGATAATTTCAATTTACCACAGAAAATATGTAAGATGAAGATAGAGATTATTCTAAAACGGCTTTTTATGTAGATTAGTCTTATGAATATTACAATTGACACAACCCAATAAAAACCTTCATGTAGAAGTCCGCAAGCAAAAACTAGAAAAAGGCAATCATACTTTGAATACAGACTCTATGAACAAAGGCAAGGTCCCAATCAAAATCTAGAAAGAGAGGGCTGGCTTTACAGGTTAGATAAGATGCACGAAATTTACATTATCAACCTGGCTTAAATTAAGCACCGCGTTCATGAGGCGATGTATGGTTCGAACAGCGTCACACAGGGGTTCGGATCATACTGCATGATCTCGGCGGCACGTTCGAACTCCTCCCGCAGTACTTTGATGCTGAACTTGTCCACGACTCTTCCCAGGTCATGCGAGACGTCGAATGGATCTTCTATGCAGATCAGATGCCGATCGTTCCCGATTCTCCTTGTCCAGTCCTTAGTCCGCTTGCTGCACACATTAGGCATGATGAATGACAGTTCCGCTAACTGTAACCGGCTTCATCAAAGCACGTGTATCTAAATCTCACCTGAGCAAGCTCCCGGTGCGAACGGATATGACGGTATTTGTGTAATCGTGACGATATGCCCAATAATGAAAAAATGCCCACACCAACTGCGCAATGGTTTCCCTGTTATGTGATCCAAAGTCACAGAGCTCCTCCACTTTATCAAAGAAAGCGCATTCTATATTATCAACAGTGACAGCGTACGTTGCCTCCATCTCCTGCGCTAGCAAAAACACATGACATGAAGAAATGCAAGTGCACAACTAAGATGATTAGCAATGGAATTGTAACTTCGTACACAGGTAGAACAAGCTGATAAACTATGTAATCCAATACTATATCCCAAATAAAAACAATCAACTCTCAATCTGAAAGGCAAACCTCGAAAGTGCAGAGAGCAAAACATTGCAAAGAAGGTAGAAGGACTCGAGAAAGAATGATCAAACAAAACAGAATTTATTAAAGAGGACAGAAGACAAATGAGTGGTTGTTGAGAAATACTGCATTCCCGTCATAAAGAAAACTGCTGCCTAGCAACATTTCATCAACCCTACTTCAGAATTGAATAAAAATCAGTGTGCGATTTCAGCTATTTCACCACACCATCTCATCCACTGTCAACGTGCCATTCACAAGATTCAACAGCTTACAATCTTAAACATAAGGGATAAACATAATGTTGACAGTAAAATTGATGAACTGAAACAAGAAAGAAGTTTGTCCATTTATATCACTTCAATATGCCACGAACTCCTCGTTAATGAGTGAGTCAGATATTTCGAGATTTTGGAAACATGGGACAGCATCAGTAGTACAATTCTAGAAAGGAGAACTTATGAAGAGAGACAAAGGAGAGAGAATCAAATTCATCAAAACGCGGAAGCAAATACAGTCCATACCTGTAAGCATGGAAGAATAGCAGGTCTACGTAGTTGTAAGAAGTGAATGCACATCAGCACATACCTGCATGAGTAACATGTCAATTGGCTAACAAAAAACAATAGTGAGGAAATATAAATCTAAAGCTCGTTCTCACTAGTTGCTAAACCATAGAGTTTCCTTGGATTTTACTCAAAGAGCCCTGTTCCCCAAAACACATGGTAAGGCTGACTGAGTCTAATAACAGCCATAGCCTAGACGTTTTCGTAATTGTCACATCAGTATATTGAAACAGAAAAATCCACAAACTGCTGACTCACGCATAGCTGGATAATGTGCCTTGATAAGTTTCATTTACTCCTCTGGATTTCGCCCAATGTTTCACAATAAATGCCAACTGCCGCAATCTCACATCTATTTGGGCATAATCTCGCAGAAGCTTCGTATTAACAACCGCCAAGACATTGTTAATGCATATATCACAAGATATTCCTGTCGCTGGATCTTTAAGCTTTACTATGGGGACCCTAGCACGTGTTAGTGCCTGTAAGAAATTTCAAGTTGAGGAATTGAAATGTGTCAGCAAGTAGACCTGAAAGCAAGTCAAACATATCACTGTAACATATCTAAAGTGATAAAATTTATCTAAGGGCTATGTACACTGAAACATGCGGGTGGTAGAACTATGGACTCCTCAGGCAGTTAGCATTGAATCACAGAACAAAGTATAAGGTAAAATAGAAATAAGAGCTAGTATTCATTCAGGATGCCTGAGGGAATTTATGTTTAAGGTGTCATCTTCCAGCTAATTAAACCTAGCGTGGGTGTAAAGTTTCACTCCGGCCTAACAAGACGAAGTAGTGTCAGATGGCAAGAGCTCTACTTTCCATGCAGACAACTTCTATGCAGAAGTACTACTGCTGATATACCACAGATGACTGTATCACCCAACCGATGCCCCCGAAAAAAACTGCATCACCCAATCACATTTAAGAAGAACAAAGTGGCAAGAGAACGTATGTATGTGTTCATGCATAAAGAAGATTACTCCAGGTCCAGACACACCAAAACATAAGATGATCAAAAGGGGGATATACGAGATACCAAGCGCACAAAGAAACTGCAAAACAAAATCGGGACATGAAATAAAACTGGTTAAGGGACTCTATATTCTACTCTAAGCCAGCACTCAAACATCCTTTCGAATAAATTAATTAACATGACAACTTTAAGGTCATTTTCGTTTAAAAATACTCTCTTGTGAAAGAATCAGAATTTTCTCCAGCAATTGAAATATCATAAAGGCAGATATTCCATTTATCCCCTAGCATCACAAATATGGGGACACTTCAGCAAAAGGAAAGCAACTCGATTCACCTGCACATCTTCTAAATTATCTGATTCCAATATGTCTGCTAATTTCAGTATAACCTCTGATTTATCAATGTCGGCATCCTGAATAGCAAGGCACACATCAATATCACTCTTGCAAACCCCAAAAGAGCTGGCACATGATCCATACAGGTATAACTTAGCTTCTGGCCACTCTTTGCTGACTAATTTCTCCAACAATGTCAACAACTGCTTCTGCTTAGCCTTTTCTTCTTCAGGTGGTATCAAGAAATCATAAATTGCAAGAAAGGGAGCATTCAGCCTGTCTATGTCCCAGCGACACTCCATTGAGCTTTTAAAGATCCTCATTCGCTGTGTAAGCAGCCTTTGTCCTCTGGAATCTGACCTGAAATCCTGGTAATGGCATGTGCAAATTCAAGTGAACCCAAAATTCTTCTTGATATATTTTGAGAGAAGTATGTAGCCTGTACTTTGGATAAATAAAAGCTACCCCATCAATTCACAAAGCCTACAGTTTGCCATCCGATAATATTGTTTATTACACCTTTTAGTTCTATGTTTTAAAAACCATGCCAATGTCTAACGCAATGACTCAAAAGCCTGTGTTATTGTATTAAATATGCATTTAAAAACACAAAAATTGAGCAAAAACCTTGATAGGGAGCAAAGATACAACAATTGGGGGAAAACGGTGAACTGGGATTCCAATGAAATTCAGTCTGTATTTCGCATAAAGGAAATTATATCAGAAGGAAAGACCATCCTATTACACAAAACTACAAGGTACTTAGAAAAATCCTTCTTCAAAACAGGAAGGTACAATAAGAATGACAATAGTCGGAAAAAAGAAGAACCTCCCCCAACCACAGTAAATAAAATACGTGGGCTTTTACAATAAATCTACTTACGTATTTGATTTTTCAATAAAGCTACCAGTTGTCATGCATTTTCCAAACTCATGAAAAACACAGGTTCTTGTCTCATAAAACTACTTATATACCCATATAAGCCAATTGCATACTATAGAAAATTGACATGAATTCAATTCTTGGCTTGTCTTAATCAATTTTCCAGGCACAAAATCACGTAAGATGTCAATTTTTACTTATATACGGAAAATTTAATACTATCATAACTAAATTCGTAAAAATGAACTGAATACATAGAATCCTCTCAATTTCTCTCTAGATAGTAAGAGCACAGAAATAGCATTACTAGATATTCATTTTTCACAAGATTATTTAGTTTAAGAGTCATAATTCAATTTGCAACTTTCTCAATCAAAACATATTTGAGGTAAACTCATGATGACCTCAATTGTAGATCCTATCACAATCATGCCAGGTTTTCACATGTACTTTTTGACTCATCCACATCCGGCGCCATACTCTTCCCGCTTATATTAGTATCAAAATTTCCGATCTAATTTCTTTAAATACTAAAGCCCCTGATGTAATTAAACCACCATTCCACTTGAGCACTCATGATGACGTCATTTTTAGATCCTATCGCAATCATTTCGGTAATATTTCCAGACAAATATCATCCACATCTGGCGCCATGCTCTTCCCTTTCCATATTACTATCAAACTTCCCGTATCTTTTTTTTTTTTTCCTGAACAGTAAAGCCCCCTACCTAAAAAGTCACCATTCTACCAGAGCAGTAATCACATATTACTTTTTCTTTACTTTTTAAGTAAATAAAATAAATCAAAATCATCAGAAGAACAATTAACATATTTTAACATCTTGACCACTGCCGTAATATAAATGAAGTGGCACCAAATAGGCATAATGACACGCTCTACTGCTCGCCCTACATCGGCAAGGCCCGCAACAAGTTTGAATCATGCCCCGTAAGGACAAAATTACATCTAATTATGCCATTGAAGCATATGTCAAGAAAGAGGAATAAGAATCATGCCTCAGACTATCCAGTTATTAAAGCTTCCTCTACTAAATCACGGCTGTTGATCGAATACAAGTTCAGCAGACATTATTTAGGAAATAATCACAAAAGCTCTTCACACAAGTTAACTTTATTTACGAAAATAAATAAATAAATGCTTTGATCTCAGTTTCAAATAAAAGATTGATATGCACCACATTCAACTCAGAAACCCTCCCCACACACTAAAACTTACACCACCGAAAACACACTCAAACATATTAAATGAGAAGCACAAAGAGTGTCACCTTTTCTCGATGACTCCGGTGCTGCTTTTTCTCGTTTTTCTCATCAACTTCGTCCTCAAGCAAATCATCAAGCTCATCAGCACCTACTTTACCGGCTCTCCTCATCGCGACCCCCTCTCCTTCCCCTTCACCTTTGCCGTCGTTCTCAGCAGCTGCAGAGCGCAGAGCAACAGACTCCTCTACGTTCGAGGCAGAAACTGACCGAAGGTTACTCCCAGTAGGTGGACCAGGGCGATCAAGCTGCTCGCTGAGCTGCGTCCCCCCTGAATTTCTGCTAGGCATTCTATGATCATCGAACTGAAATCTCCTCGCTATCACATCCCCGTCACTTGAACTCACATTCCTACGATTCCACTCACTCCGATTATTCTTTTCCCCATCCACATTGCGCTCAAAATCTGTTCTCCTATTACCAAGACCCGAATTCCCTCTCCCGCTCGGATTCGCCGGGAACCCTGGCGGCATATGCCTATCATTCCCCACGTGGTTCTGCTTTCCCCGACCGACCGCTCGCCTCTCCCGCTCACCAAGCTCGCTATTCCCACGCCGAGGAGCATTGACATTAGCGCTCGAATTCCCTCGCAGATTAAACTGCCTATTCTTCTCAAACCTATCACTGCTTCTACTACCGGAACCTATGTTAGGCTCTCTTGCAGAATCAAAAACCGAATTTTTAATCGAAACGACCTCGGAAGGTATAATTTTAGGAGGAATAGAGCCAAACTGCAGACTCTGCTCCTGCTGATGGCGCTGCAGCTGCTGCGCCCGCTGCTGCTGCTGCTGCTGCTGCAGTTGCAGTTGCTTCAGCTGTTGAGCGAGATTGTGCGGGGCAACCCCTCTCTCGTCGAACCCTCCGAGCCCCAGTCTCCTGAAATCGTCGAGCGGAAGTCCCTGATTGTGATGATTCGCGGGCGACTGGCTCCCCCCGGGGGGAGCGAGCCCGAAGAAGCCGTGCGGGTAGAGAGAGGGAGGCGACACGGCGGCGGCGTGGTGGTGGTGGTGGTGGTGGCCGTGGTGGGGTGGCCACGGCGGCGGGGAGGAGAAATCGTGGCCGTTGGGGGGCGGCCCGGGGAAGGCGATCGTGGGGCCGACGGCGGCGACGGCCGGGTCGAGGGTCAGGTTCAGCGGCTGGGGCTGCGGGTGCGGGTGCGGGTGCTGGAGCTGGGGCTGGGGATGGTGGGGCCGGCGGAGGAGGGACAGGAGGAACTCGCCGCCGTTCGCCGAGCTCCCCGGAGGAGGCTCGTCGCGTCCGCCGCCGCCGCCGCCCATGGTGGTGGGTTGGCCCCGAGGTTTTCAGTGTTGCCGTCTACTCGTCCACGCTGAAGCGGGGGGGGGGGGGGGGGGGATGTCAAAACTGGGGAAGAACTAATGACGGAAAGTGGAGATATTTTTCTTTTGTCTTTTTCTGCTCTTTTTATTTTTAATTTATTTTTTCATATTTTTTTTTGGGTGGAATTCTTAACTTTCGAATTTTTCTTTAAATTTTTTATGGAAGGTTGCTTAGGGAGGAAGGTGTTACTGTAGTGCGGTCCGTTTTGGCTGCTCTAATAACTCTACTTACTTCTACCTAGTCATACCAGCGAATAGGATTGTTTTGTAATTCAAGAAAGCTAGGGTCTGAAGTCTAAATTCGTATTGGATTCTTGAAAAATTCGGATCATCCGGAAAAGAGGCGATGGGTTTACGACGCCGATCGCTCTGAAGATCAATCTCATGATGATTAGGGTCCGGAAAAAGTGGGATGAGCGAACTGGGCTTTGTGAGAATGCTACTTGATTGTTTAATTGCGACCCGTGGGGCGGCATTTGCGATTTATTTACTTTCCTTTTTGGAGTGTAGTAATCCAAGAAGAAGCTTTGGTTTTTTATGCTGTTGTATTAATATATTCACTTTTCGGATAATATAATAGCAAAAAAAAAACGATCCGTTTGAGGATAATACTCATTTTATTTTTATTTTATCTCACAATATACGTTGACTTCCTAGAAGAAGAAAAATTCAGAATTCACATCTTGTATTCATGAGCCATTAGATTTATCGAGTACGATTTTGCCTTTTTGACAGCTACGGAGATCATTTAGCCGGAGCACCGGCAATCTTTGTGAAATGTTCGAATAGATGGCCGGGATGAAAAGTTACGATGTTTCTCTAAAAAATAAAGAATTTCGATCAAAGTGATTCTTGAGGCGACGGAGAGCTTATAACATTGTAACCAGATATTCGTGCCTTGCAGTCTTAATTTTCATAATCGTAATTTTCCCGACACCTATAAGACCAAAAAATAATTGCCCGTCTTCTTCTTCGTTTTCGTCAAACCGTCGTTCAATTTCTTTCCTTCTTCAGGGTAGACAATCACGCCGTTTACTTAAATGGAATGGGAAATCGCGAAGTTCCCTTTAGAACATGGTAAAACCGAACGTTTCCCTCTCCTTAGAACCACCCTAGGATTGAGAAAAAATAAAAAATAATTTTTTTTAAGCCACCATAGCCGACTAAACGGCAAGTTCATAGCACTGTCGACACCTAATTTTTTACCAGGGTTTTTACCAAATTCTTCGCTAAAAATCGATTGCATCGAGATTTCGATCGAAGGGGTACAATTAAATCATGCTCCGTGTGAGCTTTCCAACAATACCTAATGTTAGACATGGCCACGATTCGGAACCGGCCGGTTCCGGTTCGTGGCCATGTATGAACCGGCGGTTTCGGGCCGGTTCCGATTCTAGCCCGGTTCGGAACCGGCCGGTAAAAATTTAAAAAATAATGAATTATCAAATTATGAAATAATGAATTATTCAACATAAAATATAATCAAAATGTACATTGTAATCAAATTTGGGGAAAAAAAAGATAAAAGAATGAATTTTTTTTTTGAACGGGCCCGAAACCGGCGGTTCCGGGCTGGTTCCAAAATTGTTGGAACCGGAACAGGGCCCGTAGGCCACGGGCCGGTTCCAAACCGTGGGCCCAGTCAACGGGCCGGTACTGGGTTTGACCCGGGCCGGTTCCGGGCTGGTTTCGGGCCGAAACCGGCCCGTGGCCATGTCTACCTAATGTGGCCAAACCAGATTGGCGGAGCACCGGAAATCGCAACTTTTGGCCGTAGCCGCATGATCTCATAGTTGCCAGGAAAATTACGATCATAAAAAATCGAGTTTCGAGATACGAAGAACTGATTATAAGACCTTGTGAGTTTGAGATGCTTGGGGCGCGAGCTTTCGCTGGGTTCGAAAATCGGGGTCGATTGGACGCTGAATGAGAAAAAAAATTAAAGAAAAAACAGGTGGTCAAAGCTTGAGTTTGCTTAGCATTCATGTTTCTCTCTCATCCTGCTTGGTGTTCCCAATGGAGGAGGGCCAGCTTGCTTCCAATAAATCTTGTGCTTTAACTTTTTCATCCATGTTTATGTTGAGAAAACAACAACCAGCACCACCATTTCTTCATTCTTGGCAGCAGGCCACCGCCATTAGTTTCCCTCAGTTGCGGCAGCAACCTCTGGGAATCAGGACTGAATAGGTTACCTAATCTTCTTGTTCATCTTAGAGAAACACCGACAGGCCGCGACATTTCTTTCATTCGAGTGCGTTAGTTTCGCCCTTAACATATAATCGTTTCGGTGAAGATAGAGTGTTGTCTGAACTCGTTGAGATTATTTTCCTAGACATTGGATATATTGAGCTATATATAGAAATGAACCTCCATGATGCTTAGTTCTATACTCGTGAAGAACGTATAAGCCTGCTCTACTACATTTTTTTTGTAGTCGCCCTCAAAACTCATTGATGGTGTGCCCAACTTCTTGTTATTTATTCTCATTGGTCGTTTCCCAAGAAATAAATCGTCTATCTACTTAGAATTCTATTCCTTAACGAGCTTTTCATCCCTCCAATTCCTTGAAAGATATCATTGTGAAGCAGGAACTCAGGAACACATTCAACTTAGGGAGGAATGGGACGTAGAGCAGCATGTCTGTAGTTTGTCATGAAAAAGAAAGGAGCTGGTATCCTAGCCTGAACTAGAGTGCAGTGTAACTGAAGGTTCTGCTACCTAGGAAAGGAAGAGCTATGTCCGTTGCTCTTTGTATTCTATGTTCCCTTCAAGCTTGAAAAGATGACGATACTGGTGTGGTGGTAGAAACAATACAAGGAGCATGATCATCTTCCTTGTCTCTCATACTCTTTTCAAGTTCTGATCCTCAGGCCTTCATTTATCGTTTTTTGTCTTTTTCATGATCGTTGATTCTGACTTTAGATAACTTGTTTGGAGATTGAAATGAATTCTCACGGCAGCAATTTTCAAAGTGCTTTGAGCTGTGAAGGTAGCAGCATATTTCTCTGGAATTGTAGTAGCTGTTGTTTATTTGAAAGTTGCCGCTCAATATGGTACTACAGGTCCAACTTAGGTAGTTGAATGGTTTCACAGGTCTAGATCATGGCTGTATTGCTGAGTCTTAACTCCAATGTGTTAGGAATTTTCTTTGTACGATGTTGATGGACGAATGCAACTTGAAGTTTGTTCCCTGATGGGATGTGTAGGGTCTAGTTTTGCCAATGCTTCAGAGTTCAGATCCCAACTATGGTTGGTTGCTTTAGCCTTCTCTCAGAAAAAAGAACACAAAACATAACCAAAATAGCAGTAGTACTTGTGTCAGTTGTGCATAGCACTCTTTTCACTGGAGTAAAATGTTCTTTGAATCACTATTGATTATCCCTATGGCGTTTATGCTTGAAATGACACGTAGATATTTGTAGAACTGTAAAATTTCTTATGATAGTTTTTTCAAGAAACAGCTAACAAGGTATGATGGAGAGAACAGAAGTTTCCATTTCAGTCAGAGTTTGGAAACACGAAAATTCAGGTTGGATATTGACTCACTGAGGGCATACGAAGAAGACTTTTGGATAGCACGTGACACCTACTACTTAGAATACACTTCCATCTGATTACGGGAAAAAAAAAATGCACTACCATCTGTTTTCCAGTCAGTAATAGGAGGAGGAGCAAAGAGTCAGCTGTAGCTTGTTACCTCCTTGTGCTAAGTTAGATCCGAAGTGCAGTGCCATTCAATGATTTAGCTGTAGATGCAGAATCATTAGTGATGGCATTACTGGAGTGATTCCAACTCTCTGAACTTTATATACGAATGCACTTGGAAGTTATCATCAATAATCAACGTTTGCTTGTCAAATTTTCCTTGAATATTGTTGAGCATTCACAATTTATTCAGATGTTCAAGTTGGAGGTTTGTTTTAAAAAACATAAACAAGACCGAAAATAAACATAATATCTGATGAGACGTTCTCTCTATATTGACCCATCCTATGCAAGACAGCCATTTAAAGAGTCAATTTACCAAGCTCACACCCTGATGATGATCTGGTTTCAAATTTAGCAAAAGTTAAGGTAATTTTTAAACCATTAGCAACTAAACCAAACTTCTACAGAAGTTTTTGATATTTTCTCATCAAATTACTTCTACTCTATCATAACATAAGCAAGATCCAAGTAAACAGAAGTCACTTCCTTTTAACCAAACAGAAGTACAGGGCAATGCTACATGGACAACTACCTTATGCACAACAAGGATGATTCAATGAAAGTTGTCGTAAGTAGATTCAGTAACAATATACATGAGCATAAATCTATAAAAACAGCACTTCGTTTCTTACACTGCTGGGCATTACTTCCAACAAGGAGGAAGATTGCTTCTCTTCTTGGCCGCCGTCTCAACTGATTTAACGTCCCAAGCACCATTTCTCCAGTAGCCATAACTAAGCTCTGGAATATGCGCAACTTTCCCGTATTCTTCATCTTGTTCTTCTGGCTTAAGTTCCTCAATTAGTTCATCGGGCATGTCAAAAAGCTCCAGCACTTTGAGCTTGCTGAGATACTCAATTCCTGATGGGATATTTTTCAAACATTTGCATCGCTGGATGCTCCACTTTTCAAGGCAAGGCATTGCTCCCTCCTCTACTTGTATGAATGTAAGCTCCTCAAAAAAATCAAGACCTAATACTTTGAGCTTCTTAAACCCTTTAGCCTTGAAGCATAGTTTTTGCCAATCATAGGCTTGGAGTAACTCAAGGTGTATGAGATTGGGCAAACTTTGGAGGATAAACATCGGATCTTCCTTGAGATGGCTCCATTTCAATTTAAGTTTGGCAAGATTATGGAGGTTGGCAATCCAATGTGGCAATGCCTGCAATTTTCCCTTTAAGAACACTCTTTGAAGAAGCTGTGGAGGAGAAAAAAGGTTTTGCAGATCAATTTCAGTATCTTCAAAAGAAGAAACTGATAGCGCACGGAGATTGGTCAACTTGGCAATTGATAGGCATAGCTTCCTTCCTTCTGCTT